GCTAGTATTTAAAAAATATGTGTTTTTTGAAAAAAGAAAATAAGAATTGTTCTTTTTTTACCAAAAAATATTATCTTTTAAAAAATATATTATATATGTTCAAAAACTTTTACTTGACGTATAAATATATTAAATTAATTAGATTTTTTTTGAATTATTTATTAATATAACAATATTAAAAAAATTATAGAACACAATTTATTTCGTTAACATTTTAGATAGAACTTTACAAGATTTGTATTTTTTTGAACAACATAAAATAAGAAATGTTACTTTTTTTACAAACAAAATATATCTCAAAAATAATATAACATATTTATTTAAAAAAATATTTTACTCTAGAATATTTAATTTGCATGCAGCTTAATAAAAAAAAGTCAAAAAAATGTTTTTTTTAAATCATAGCAATGAAAAATGAAAATCACAAATAATAATTTGAAATAGGTTTTTATTTTTATTTTAATTAAGTCATCAAAACGATGTGTCATCCACATCACCTCATTAAAGCCACACAAGCAAAAAAAATCAAGGAGTTACCGGTTTAAAAGTTAACAAGTTACCCATTGCTATAATGAGTAGATTTTTTAAAGTGTGATGCTTTAATAAAAAATAATTTGAAAGTACATTGTTGTAATAAAGAAAAACAAAAATAGAATGTTATTATAAGAAAATTTATGAAAGTGAGTTGTTATTTCATGCATTTAACCCTTAAAAAAATTACGATTTCGTCAAAATCACATATGATTAACAATTAATTGATTTTTTTTCAATTTTTTCTAATTATATATGATTTAAAGCGTAAAAAATTCAAGCTAAAAATTGAAAAAGAATAATAATGAAAACAGAATTACATATAATTTATATTAGAACACACTTAATATATATAAGATCATATCAATTCAAAATGTAATTCACAATTTACAAATAATAGATGTAATGGTATAAATAACTTATATTTTGTTTTCATTTAAATTTACTATAATCAATATCACATATGATATTTTGTCGAAAATTTATGATTCTTTTAAAAAAAGAACATCGATTGATTGCAAATTTCATTTATGAATCTTGATGATAATTGTACAAAAAGTAGTAAATAAATTAATTCAATAAAAATAAATATTTTAAATTAGAAAACTAAATTAGACCTACTTTTTTTTTACAAAAAATAAATAAATGAAAAACTACTAATGCTTGAATAATGAGATTTAAAAAAACATAAATAAATATCTTAATTAAATGTATTAAATAACTTTTAAACCAATAAATAATTTTTCATATATAACCTGTATATAGCATATGATAAATATGTCTTTTTGGACGATTTTTAAAAAAGTTTTATTTTAAAACATTATTCAAGTAAATAATTGATACAGAATTATAATCTTATTTCCTTATTTAATTTCATTCTAAACCTCCATCTATCTATATATTACTTGTGAATTTTACAAAAGAGAACCTTTCAATGCCTGGTCAGAATTAATACTTATTTTAGAAATTAGCATAAAGACGTATATAGAGTGGTTTTCGATTCCCTAATTCCTCGAAATCCAACATCTAGAAGCAAGGATACATGGCAAGTCTCGTAATTCATAGATCCCATCCTTCCAATGAGTATATGTTTGAAAATCTATTCACTTCTATTGACTTGTAAATCGAACATGATCTCTAACAGCAAGAAGTAATAGAGAATTTGTCTAAGAAATATTTACTACAAAAATGGAAGCATAAGATGAATCATATTTATCAAGTAAAGAAAATAATTGGTAGCCATGATAATTTTATCTAGAAATACTAGTATAAGATGAGACAATTTGCAAAAAAAGTGTATACAACAGGTCAATAAATTAATTCGGTGGTTGATATAGCAAAACAAATAAGTGATTCCCAATAAATTGTGTTACATTTCTGTTGTGTAAAGTTTTATATACAAAATGCCAATAGGCATTCTCAATATCATACTAACATGTCTCAAACATCTTATTCTTTCCTAGCCCTACTTTATGCTGGGATACAATGTGTTGGTTTGGTTGCTGCATTTGTTGACTCATCAGTTCTCACCACTAACTCTAGTTTTATTAGATGTCAGAAAAAGAATCAATAGATAGATCATCAGCCTGCAAAACACACCGTTAATGATTACTCCTATGTGGTAAAATTGTGCATGAGCTACATAATCCAGATCAAGTTGTATGCCCAGTGTCAACTGAAAGTTACAAGTGGATGGAGCTTACATGATTTGTTATAAATCCACAAGCTCCCTGAAAACTTGTCATCCAATCACTCTCCCGCCTGTCTCTCTAACCTGGCCGGATTGGACCAACATACTGATGAAATTGGACCATAACGTAGATCCTTGCGAAATGCTATGAACATTGAAGTTGTAAAAACATTAAACTGCAGCAAGAAACGTACATGTCAGAACAAGTTAGAACAAACCAAAACAACATATTCCTTAGATGCATATATTCAGAAGAGCAACTCATGTAAACAATTCAAGTTTTGGGGACATTTAAGTAACACAAGTACCACTTACGGATTTTCGGATTCGCAAATCTAACAAGATTCTGCTTTTTCATTTAGATCACAGACAACACATCAAAAATTCAACAAAATATTTTGGTATTCAAATTTGAAAAAAAAAATTGAAAACGAATCCACAAATGATCTTGTAAAGGAAAAGTAATTAGATTGAGCATAAATCATTTGCAGTCACAATGGATTCGAAGATCGGAAGAATGATATTATAGCAGCGAGTTTAAAACCGAGTCAGATCGACAACCAAAACGAGAAAAAAATAAATGTGTCTTACAACGATCAAGAGAAGTGAATGATGAGTGATAGTCGAATGATAATTCATCGTGATAAGCAGCTCTATTTATTTCTGATTCTATCTCTGTTCCTTCCATTTGAAGAAAGTAGGAGCACATCGTGCACGCCTCTTCCATGGCGCCTGATATGAAATCAAGGTAGAATGGAAATGTTGACTATGAGTTTATATAGAAAATTCTCAACCCTAATCTTTGTAAAATATTCAGATATGTTATTAAATTGAGTCATTAAATAATTGTACATGAATAAAATACAATATAATAATCAAAATATTATTAAAGACATAATAACTTGAATGATTTTATATGGTTTTTATAATAAATAAAAAAAATATTACACATTTCTATATTTTTGGACAACTTTTTTTTTATAGTTTCTTATGTAATTACTTATTATTATTGTAGGATTTGACAACGATTTTATTGTTTGATTGTAATCATAGTTTATATTTATATTTTATTACTACTTTAATTATTTATTGTTTGACTAAATACTAATAATCTCATGTTTAGTGTACTTAATTTGCAATATTTGTTTATCATCCTCTTAATCTTTATTTATTTCTTGTGGCTCTTCAAATATTTTAATGTCTTGTCTAATATTTTGCCTATGAACATCACACCTTTTTAACATATAAAAAATTATAAATTTAAGTTGAAATGTTGAATACTACAAAATTTAACATTTTGTGGCATAAGAGTGCTTACGTGGCCATCACTCCTTTTCTTATATATATATATAAATAAATATATATATATATATATATATATATGTTTATATTTAAATAAACAATGATTCTTGGTTTTGTTTTCAAGAATCGAAACAATTCGTAGCACCATTAATATGATTTCCTTCAAAAAGTAGGAACATTAGTATACATGAAAAAGACAGTGAGAGAAACTGCAAAAAGAGTGTATATATTAATATATATTTATATATATATATATATATATATATATATATATCAAAACAAATAAGCGATTTCTAATATTATTAAGTTGTGTTCATTTCTCTTGTGTAAATGTTTTTATATACAAAATGCTAATATGCATTGTCAATATCATCCTAACATGTATCGATCATTGGATTACATTTGCACCACCATCAATTGGTTGTTTACGGTTGTAGAGTTTTTAGGCTACACCTTTATCCTAGTGGACAATATGCTTTTCTGTTGGTCGGAAGATGGTTCTTGCATTTTTCGTCTTCACGTTCATCCTAGGATTGAGGTAAATTTGTATACATCTTATACCTCCATCACTCGTGGATACAATGCATTGGTTTTAGCAAAGTCGTTGCCTTAGTAGCCAGGCGATTGGGAGAAGAAATCTTTGAATCTGCAGATTTGACCAAATTCCAAACAGTTGGTTTCCACCCAAGATAGAATCTCTCAATTCTGTTTATTCAGGATCGTTTCTTCTCAGATAATCAACAAGACTGCTTATTTCTCATCTATTTAGTGTATGCCATGAGCTAGAAGATTCCGATTGTGGATGATTTTTAAGATGATCAGATGTACAACTACCCCATGAAGTGGGCTTGTTTCTGGGCATCCCCAGTACATTCTTCCATCAGAATCAATACCCAAGAAGTCCTTCCGCAAAGACAGCCTTGAGACCTGAATTGAGTACATGAATCCTGGAACGGATGAAAGATCATCATCATCAATAGCCACTATCGAAATCGGACCATGAGGTAAATCCTTGCGAAATGCTATGAACATTGACGTTGTAAAAACATTAAACTGCAGCAAAAAATTTACATGTTAGAACAAATTTGAACAACGGAAAACAACAGAGTCCTTAGATGCAAAGATTCACAAGAGCAACTCATGTACGCGATTCATATTTTGGGAACCATTTAAACAACATTGCGGCTCAATAGATTTTCGGATTTGCAAATCCATCAACATTCACAGACAACACATCAAGGATTTTAGATTACTATAGCAGCAAAAGTTTAACAAAAAGTTTCGTGTTCGAATCCGAATAAAACAATTTGAAATTGGTATAGAAATCAAATTCGCCAATGATTTTGAAAAGGAAATGTGATTAGATCGAGTATAACTTAATCTAAATTGATTCGAAGAAGGAATAATGAAATGTCACGTGAGAGTTTAGAGGTACACACATCGACAACAAAAACTAGAAAAAATAACGGTGGCTTACACAAATCGTGAAAAGTGAATGACGAACGATTGTCGAATGTTGGGAGCGCACACCTTCTTCCATGGAGGCTACGGTGAAATCAAGGTATAATGAAAGAACTGAAAGTGAGTTTATATAGCAAGTTTTCAACACTATTCTCTGTTTTGATTGGTTAGATTTATGCCCACAGGATCGTCATCAAATAGATTTATCGCCCACAGGATTGACATAAGAAATAAAAAAGAAATAATTAACAAATACTTTTCCTTTTTTGATTTTAAACATTTAAACTATCGATATTATATATAATTTAATTAAAACACAAAGAAAGAAAGATTTAAGAAGAAACATTTAACAAATATTTTTCTTTTTTGATTTT